CATCATCAGAGGTTTTTAAGAAGAGACTGGACAGTCATTTGCATGAACTAGTATAGGGTCTCCTGCATGAAGCAAGGGGGCTGGACTAGAAGACCTCACGGGTCCTTTCCAACTCGGTTATTCTGATTGGTACCAAATTCCTATTGATTCTGAGAACTGAAACACATTAAAAAAAAAAACCTAGAATTTAACGACACAACACTGGAGTTTATCTCCAATTAAATTCTACCAGAGAGCAGCCAGCATAAGATGGCCCAACGGAACACTTTGAAGGAGGCCGTTATGTGCAGAGGCTGAAATGAAATCCAGTTTCAATTTCACGGGCATCCTTAAGACGCAGATCTCAAGGGCACCCAGCCCCTCCGACTGATCCCTGGCAGGAACAACTCGGGTTTCCCAGCAGTCTGTTGGCAAGTCTTTGGGACACTGTCTTTGCTACACACATACTTTACTCGACCCTTCCCCCTTCTTTCCCCCACCCACCCTCAAATCTCTGGCAGAGGTGGTGATACTACTAGATGGATACTACCAGGAGGGAAAGGGGCCTTTAAGAAGAAGCCAGACAGTCACTTGTCTAGAATGGTACTATAGCAGGGATGGCGAACCTTTCTGTTGTGGTGTGCCGAAAGGGCGCATGCGCCGGCACCCACAAGGCGATGCAGCCCGCCTCTGTGCATGCGCGTGCAACACCCCCACCCGGCCTCCTTACCTGCACTCCACATGCACGCACCTCCCAGGTGGTTTTCGGCCTGTTTGAGGCCATTTTCGCCCTCCCAGAGGCTTGAGGAATGCCTCTGGCAGCCTCAGGAGGCCGAAAAAATGGGCCCGTTTTGGCACTTCCGGAAGGCCCGTTTTTCGGCCTCCCGAGGCTGCAGAGGTTTCCCTCAAGCCTCCGGAAGGGGGAAAAGAACCTCAAACGGGCCGAAAATCAGCTGTGAGGCGCACACCTGTACAAGGCAGGTAAGTTTGGCTGAGGGTCACGTGCCTGCACAAATGGCTCTGGTTCGCCATCACGGTACTGCTTGAGCAGGTGGTTGGACTGGAAGACCTCCAAGGTCCCTTCCAATTCCGCTATTCTATGTTATTCTACAATTTATCCCGGGGAAGTTATCTGGATTCAGAGGTATTAACAGAAGGACAGAATCAAGATCACGTGAAGTATTAATACCACCCTATGCCTTGTGGGGGACGCGGTGGTTCATTGGCTAAGATGCTGAGCTTGTCGATCAGAAAGGTCGGCAGTTCGGCGGTTCGAATCCCCAGCGCCGCGTTAACGGAGTGAGCTCCCGTTACTGGCCCCAGCTTCTGCCAACCTAGCAGTTCGAAAGCACGTAAAAAACGTAAGTAGAAAAATAGGGACCGCTTTGGTGGGAAGGGAACAGCGTTCCGTGCGCCTTCGGAGGCGTTTAGTCATGCTGGCCACATGACCACGGAGGCATCTTTGGACAGCACCGGCTCTTCTTCGGCTTCGTAAAGGAGATGAGCACCACGCCCCTCAAGAGCCAGAAGCGACTAGCACGGATGTGCGAGGGGAATCTTTACCTTTTTATAATGCCTTGGTTTGACCACACTTGGAACAATAGATCCAGGTTTGGTCACCACGATGTAAAAAAGATGTTGAGACTCTGGAAAGGGTGCAGAGAAGAGCAATAAAGAGGATTAGGGGACAGGAGGTGGAAACATATGAAGAACGGTTGCTGGAACTGGGTATGATGTTTAGTTTAATGAAAAGAAGGACTAGGGGGGACATGATAGCAGTGTTCCAGTATTTGAGGGGCTGGTCCCAAAGAAGAGGGAGTCAAGCTATTATCCTAAGCAAGACAAGAAGCAATGGATGAGAAAAAAAATGAGAAAATACCATCACAGGAGGAAATCATTAAGAAAATATTGGAATGTGCTGAAATGAGTAGATTGACATTTGAAATTAGAGAACAAGAGGATAAACAATTTTATAAAATTTGGGATCTATTCTATCAATGGTTAGACAATAAAATATAGTAATGAAATACGTAGACTTTTAGAAAATAGTAAATATATAAAGATGTATTCTTTTCTTATTATATCTAACAAAATGATTCTAGGATAGATCTGGGATGGTCATATGAATTGTCATAAAACAAATTAAGTAAAATATGATCATTTTGTAAAACACGAAGGAATAAAAGTATTGTCAAATGATTGATTAATAATGACATTAATGTATTTAATATTTGATTGAAAATACGAGATTATATACAATGTAATTATAATGGAAGACTACGAAATGGAAGCACAAAACCATTTGTAAACCAACCGGCACACTGTATGTACATATATGGAAGATGACTTGATGTTTTTATGTTTTGTTTGTTTATGTTTGTTTTAAAAACCAATAAATTTTTTTTTTTTTTTTTAAAAAAGAAGCAACGGATGGAAACTAATCCAGGAGAAAAGCAATTTAGAATTAAGGAGAAATTCCCTGACAGTGAGAACAATTAATCCATGGAACGACTTGCCGCTAGAAGTTGTAAATGCTCCAACACTGGAAGTTTTAAAAAAGATGTTGGATAACCCTTTGTCTGACGTGGTGTAGGGTTTCCTGCCTAGGCAGGGGGTTGGACTAGAAGATCTTCGAGGTCCCTTCCAGGTCTGTCATTCTATGTTCTTTTACAATTTCTCCCGGGAATTTGTCTGGATCTCAGGCAAACGCGTCCACCCCCTTTCTTGGGGGAAAGGAAGAGACTCTTAAGAAGCAAAAAACCTTTTCCATCATTGATCCTTCCTTTCTAACGGAGCTGTTTTCCCTGCTCGGAGGAGGCCAGGGCAGGCCAGAGGAAACTGCAGCTCCTAATGAGCTGATTAAGGACTGCTGGGCTGAGCTGTCAAATCCAAAAAGGAAAGGAAGTGAGGGGGGGGGGATCAGGGGCAGCGGCTGACTGTCTCCTTCCTTGATGTACAATTCCTCTAACCCCTTCTCCTCCCTCCAAAGTGCAGCAGAGATGGCAAAAAATAGAGCAGAATATTTTTTTATGGGCCAAAGCGTGTTTGGACGCACAAGGAATTTGTCTCCGGGGCAGCAGCTCTCCATGTCTATAATACAAGCAATGAGGGATAGATATATCATGATCATCCTCTTTTAATGATCCCGTAATCCCTTGCGGGGCGGAGTCTGGAAACTGAATGGAGCCGAGTGTTTACTGGCCGGATACCCTTCCTGTCACCAGTGCGGTGTTTTTTTCCAGCAGATCTATTCTCATTGTGCCCAGAGAAATATCTTCTTCCTCTGCCCAGGATCGAACTCACAGCTTCCTGATTGGGAGGCAAGAGTTCCACTATTCGGCCACCTAGAGGCCATATCATGATACTAATCATAAAGTACAATTATCACAAGTAATACATTCAGTGATCGTCATCGGATACTAAATAAGCCATCTACGTATAACAACGGTTTAATGATTGCAGGAATTGGGTATGTCTATAGTTTAGTGAAAAGAAGGACGAGGGGTGACATGGTAGGAGTGTTCTGGTATCTCAGGGGTTGCCAAAAAGAAAAGGGAGTCAAGCTATACTCCAAAGCGTCTGAAGGCAGGACAAGAAGCAAATGGTGGAAACTGTGATGACCCAAAGGGGCGTGGCACAAAGGCAACACAGTCAGATAAGCAATAAGAGTCCCTTTATTATCTCCAACTTTGCCCCCATTGTCCAGGTTAGCTTCTGACTGAAGAAAAACTCTTCCAGGAACTGCAGAAAATTAAGTCCAAAGCATGGTCAACACAAACTGTAACTTAAAGTCCAAATAAGTCAAACTGAAGCAATTAGTTTGGCAGGGCAGGAGCAAGAATTTCAGACTTGAAAGCGAGGCAAAACTCACATGGTTGGGACGACGCCAGGAACACAGATAAGCAAAGTCAACACAAAATAAAGTCAACCCGCCTTTCTTATAAACTCTCTTCCCAGCTGCAGTTAATGAAGGGAATCAGGGCCCTTTCCTCCCCCGTAAGCCACACAATCTACATTGCTCTCTTCTCCATTCCTCCCTATGTGCCCTAGGATGAAGACGGGGTGGGCCTGGGTCTTCCTCTGAACGCCCCTCTCCCTTGTTCTACCTCCCGCTGTTCTGCTCAGGTGGACTCTGCCCTTCCCCAGTTTCCTCCAAAGCCAAGGGAGCCACAGTCCCACTTCCTGTCAGCTGTTCATCTTCCTCCTTGGATTCGGACTCTGACAGGGGCATGACAGAAACTAACCACGGAGAGAAGCAACCCAGAACAAACGAGAAATTTCCTAATGGTGAGAACTAGTGGAATGGCTTGCCTTCAGAAGTTCTGTTCTGACTCAGCCTTAGCAGAAACAAGAAACAGACTCCTTCCTCCGAAAACTTCTCTTTATTTATCTCCTGTGAATGGTATTCGCACACCGAAAAGTCCAGACAATAGTCCTTCAAAGAGTTAAATGAAATAATGGACCTTATCAGTTCCCAAAGATAATTGCCAGGCCCATGAGCTCCCAGTGGTAAAGCTGCAGCTTAAATTCTGGCAAACAGTCTCTGAGGCACGAAGCACGATGAGCCAAATCTTCAGAAAGATGAACTGTTGACTCCTACAACCACCACTCCCCTTTCCTTCGATTTATTCCCTGGCCAGGGAGGGGCCATTCAGCATCCACATGTGCTTTGCTTCCCGAGTCGACTCCTCGACCTCCGCTGTTCCCCTCTCCTAACAGCTCTGCGCATATGCGTGTCTGGAACAGGCTCCAACTGCTCTTCCTCCCCACTCATCTCAGCCTCCAAAGGCAGCTTCCTCTCCGGTGGCTGGGAAATGTCAGGCGGCCCTGGCTCTTTCCCTGCGTCTGATGCAGAGCCTCCACCAGAGCCTTCCCTAGGCCCAAGCTCCTCCCCAACCTCCTCATCGTCTGAGTCTGACCGCCAGCTCCACTGGCAGCTGGCAGGCCACAACAAGTTGTGGGTGCTCCAACACTGGAGGTTTTCAAGACATCTGAAATGGTAGAGGGCAGGGGTGTCAAACTCAAAGCCTGAGGGGGCGGATCCGGTCCGCAATGTGGTTAGATTTGCCCCGTGGAACCGCCCTGGAAACAGCGAAGGACTGGCCCATGGTGCCTTGGCCTGGCCCAGGCCGGCCAGGCACTGATCTACAACCCAGCGGTGGCCATCTGCGGAAGAACACATTCAGCCTTAGATCTGTGGGGCCACTCTGGGGCCAGTGACGGGCCGCCCCGCCCCCTAGGTGCACAAACCGGTCTAAGTCGACATGGAGGGACGTAAGCAGTGGGGTGCCACAAGGTTCCGTCTTAGGCCCAGTACTCTTCAATATCTTCATGAACGACATAGATGAGGGAATAGAAGGGGAACTTACCAAATTTGCAGGTGATACCAAGCTGGCAGGAATAGCTAACACCCAAGAAGATAGGCTCAAGATCCAGATGGATCTTGACAGACTAGAACCCTGGGCCGTACCTAATAAAATGAAATTCAACGTAGAGAAAAGCAAAGTCCTACACATGCAAGAAAAACCAAAAGGACACATATAGACTGGGTGAAACTAGGCTCAATAGCAGGAACTGGGAGAGGGATCTTGGAGTCTTAGTGGACAACCAGCTAAATAGGAGCCAGCCGTGTGCAGCAGCCGCCAAAAAAGCCAATGCAATCCTAAGTTGTATTAACAGAGGGATACAATCAAGATCAAGGGAAAGTACTAATACCACTCTATAAAGCCTTAGTAAGACCACACCTAGAGTACTGCATCCAGTTTTGGTCACCACATTATAAAAAAAGATGTTGAGGCTCTAGAAAAAGTACAGAGAAGAGCAACCAGGATGATTAGGGGACTGGAGGGTAAAACATACAATGAACGGTTGCAGGAACTGGGCCTGGCTAGTCTAGGGAAGAGAAGGACCAGGGGAGACATGATAGCATCTTCCAATATTTGAGGGGCTGCCACAGAGAGGAGGAAGGGGTCAAGCTATTTTCTAAAGAACCTGTAGGCCAAATAAGGAATAATGGATGGAAACTGAACAAGGAGAGATTTAACCTGGAGATAAGGAGAAACTTTCTGACTGAGAACAATCAACCCATGGAACAGAAGTTGCCCTCGGAAGTTGTGGGAGCACCATCACTTGAGACTTTCAAGAAGAGATTGAACTGCCATTTGTCAGAAATGGCGTAGGGTCTCCCGCTTGGGCGGGGGGTGGGTGGACTAGATGACCTACAAGGTCCCTTCCAACTCTGATTATCTGTATCTGATAGATCTGTATCTAAACAGAAGGCAGCGAGTGTGCGTGGGGGGCCTGGTGTCCCTGAGGACCATCTCCCCCCACAGGCTGACTGCGTTCTGAGTGCCATTGCCTGCTTCCTAGGGCCGAGAGGAAAGGACTGGCTCAAAATCACCCAGCTGACTTTCGTACCTAAGGCAGTGCTACAATTCACTGTCACCTCGTAATTGGCCTGAAGTCCCGTAGGTGGGTTGAGGTCAATCACCTGGAGTCAGGGAATTCTAATTCTCTCATAGGCACAAAAGCCAACTGGGAGACTTTGGGCTAGTCACCGGGAGAGGGTGAGTTCTAGTCCGGCCTTAGGTACGAAAGCTGGCTTGTGCTGTGGTTTGTTTGTTTTTTGTATTAAGGTGCAAACTGGGTGTTCTTGTGTACTGGTTTGGGGTTGCCTGCTTCTTAGGGCTGAAAGAGAAGGACTGGCTCAAAATCACCCAGTTGGCTTTCGTACCTAAGGCAGTGCTAGAATTCACTGTCACCTGGTAATTGGCCCAAAGTCACGTCGCTGGCTTGAGGTCAATCACTTGGAGTCAGGAGGGAATTCTAGTTCTCTCATAGGCACAAAAACTAACTGGGAGACTTTGGGCCAGTCACCGGGAGAGGGTGAGTTCTAGTCCGGCCTTAGGCACGAAGGGCAGTGCTGGAACTCACTGTAACCTGGTAATTGGCCAAAAGTCACACGGCTGAGTGGGGGAAATCTAGTTCTGTCCTAGGCACGAAAGTTGACTTCGGTGACTTTGGGCCAATCACCAGGAGACTAAATTCTAGTCCCCCAAACCGTCTGGGTGACTTTGGGCCAATCACCAGGAGATGGTGAGTTCTAGTCCCTCCTTAGGAATGAAAGCTGGCTGGGTGACTTTGGGCCAATCACCAGGAGACGGCGAGTTCTAGTCCCACCTTGGACATGAAAGCTGGCTGGGTGACTTAGGGCCAATCACCAGGGGACGGTGAGTTCTAGTCCCTCCTTAGGAATGAAAGCCAGCCAGTCCTTGGAGTGCAGCAATGGCAAACCACTTCGGAAAAAACCTTGCCAAGAAAGCTGCAAGAATCAGTTCAGGCACTGGCCAGCCCTGAACAAAACCGAAGAAACACAAAGACATACCCCTAAACCCACAGGTGTGATTTCCTGAATCCACTTACAGGTTGCACAAACCCAGCTGATGGAGGTGGGATGGCAGGTAGCTCTTCTATCCTCACCCCTGTGGCACAGGGTGCAGGAAACGTAGTGACTCCCAACAAGGAGACGTCGTGCGTAGCCCAACAGGACGTATCTATGGTCATCACACAATAATCCTTGTATTTTGTGACGGTGGAGGAAAATTTTGGTGGTGGATCCACTGGGAAAAGAAAAGAAAAAAGGGGAGAGAGGAAGGTTTTTAATCCGTCGTTTTCTTTCTCCCACGCACAATTTATTCAAACGAGTTCTAAATAGCTCGTTTCGGTTCACCTCTGGAGGGGATATAAATTACTGCCAGATGTTCAGACAGAGAAGATTCATTGAAATTCAGAGAAAAATAAAGTCTTAACAATTAGGCAAAAAAAACCCAAAAGGACACATATAGACTGGGTGAAACCAGGCTCAATAGCAGGAACTGGGAGGGGGATCTTGGAGTCTATATGAGCCAGCCGTGTGCGGTAGCAGCCAAAAAAGCCAATGCAATCCTAAATTGCATTAACAAAGGGATACAATCGAGATCAAAGGAGGTACTAATCCCACTCTATAAAGCCTTAGTAAGGCCACACCTAGAGTACTGCACCCAGTTTTGGTCACCACACTATAAAAAAGGATGTTGAGAGTATAGAAAAAGTGCAGAGAAGAGCAACCAGGATGATTTTAGGGGACCAGAGACTAAAACATAGGAAGAATGGTTACAGGAACTGGTCATGTATAGTCTGGCTGGGGAATTCTGGGAGTTTAACAGATAATCAGAGTTGGAAGGGACCTGGTAGGTCATCTAGTCCAACCCCCCCCCCCCGCCCAAACGGGAGCCCTACACCATTTCTGACAAATGGCAGTCCAATCTCTTCTTGAAAATCTCAACTGATGGCGCTCCCACAACTTTCAAGGGCAACTTCTGTTCCATTGGTTGATTGTTCTCACTGTCAGAAAGTTTCTCCTTGTTTCCAGGTTGAATCTCTCTCCTTGTTCAGTTTCCATCCATTATTCCTTGCCTGGCCTTCAGGGGCTTTGGAAAATAGCTTGACCCCTTCCTCCTCTCTGTGGCAGCCCCTCAAATATTGGAAGATGCTATCCTGTCTCCCCTGGTCCTTCTCTTCCCTAGACTAGCCAAGCCCAGTTCCACCCAACTCAAAGCAGGCTGGCTGGGGTATTCTGGGAAGGGAAGCCCACCCATTTCAAAGCAGGCTGGCTGGGGAATTCTGGGAGTTGAAGTCCATACCTCTTAAAGTGAACCAGTCTGAAGACCTTTGTTCTACTGTAACATGTCTCTCTTTACACAACATTATTTTTCTGCAGCTTCCAGAGCTTCAGACCGCAGAAACGGCAAAGGTTGAAGCTGAGCCCCAATTCTCCCCACTTTGAAGGCTGCTTTTCCCCACACACCCTGAAGACTTATCAGCTATATACTCTTGCTACTTCCACAGAGCCTTGACTAACCGGGGCTGAGCGGGGTGCTGGTCTTAATGGGGGAATTAGAATTTCTGGGAGTTTTCACAGCTGACGTCTTCGACGGATCCTTGCAGATGATGCTAGATATTTCTTGAATATCTCCAAGGGATCTGGCCAAAACAGAACAAAAGGGATAAGAAGACATCAGTGTTGGTTTCTCATCATCTGTTCAGAAATGCTGGACTCCAGCAATCTTCTATTTTTTTTTTTTTGAGCCTTCTTCTTCCAAAAACAACTCAATCCTCTCTCCAAACACAAGTGAGGATATGGACCCCCAACTTACCCTGGTTTTTTTTGCCACGAGACCATCTGGAACAGGGGTGGGCAACTATGGCCCTTTTATGAATTATGGACTTCAACTCCCAGAATTCCTGAGCAAGCATGGCTTGCTCAGGAATTC